GGAAGAAATCGAAGCAGTAATCAAAAAACTTCCAACAGCCAAAGCCGGTTTGGCTCAGTGGTAGAGCGTCGGTCTGCGGACTGAAAGGTCCCAGGTTCGATTTCGGTCAAGGGCATGTACATTGCTTGCACACCCAGTAGGGGGTGTGCACGAGGCAGCTGGTCGATGTTTCTCATCGATGTTTCTAGCTATCTCTCTCTCTCTCCCTTCCTCTCTGTAAAAAATCAATAAAACATATTTAAAAAAAAAAAACTTCCAGCAAACAAAAGCCCTAGCCAAGACAGCTTCACGGTAGTTTTACCAAACATTCAAAAAAAATCTAAAACCTCTTCTCCTCAGACTATTCCAAAAAATTGAAGAGGATAGAACACTTCCAAACTCTTTCTCTGAAGCCAGCATTACCCTAACCACAAAACCAGATAAAGACACTACAAAGAGAAATACAGTCTAATATCCCTGATGAATATACATGCTAAAATTCTCAACAAAATATTAGCAAATCAGATCCAGAAATATATTAAAAAGATCATACACCACGGTCAAGTGGGATTTATTTTGGTGATGAAAGGGTGGTATAACATTGGCAAATCAAAAAACGTGATACAACACATAACTGAGAGACAAAAATCACATAATCATATCAATTGATGCAGAAAGAGCATTTGACAAAATCCAACACCCCTTCTGATAAAAACTCTCAGCAAAGTGGGAATAGAGGGAGCATGCCTAACATAATAAAAATCTTATATGACAAACCAACAGCCAACATCATACTCAAAGGGCAAAAACTAAAACCATTTCTGCTAAAAACAGGAACAAGACAGGGATGCCCTTTTTCACCAGTCCTGTTCGACACAATACTGGAAGTGCTTGCCATAGTGATCAGACAAGAAGAAGAAAAAGGCATTCAAACATTGTAGCCAGGTTGTAAATATTTGACTCATTTGTTTTCTTAGTGCTGCAATAAATACATCATGGACATAAACATTTTATTTATATTTGATAAACCCAGCCTTACCTTGTGGAATCTGAAAATTGAAATATCCAAAGGTTTGAACAAGATTGAATCAATGAAAAAGAGGCCTTGTTTATGTTGGATAACTTCTACCTTTAATTTATAAAGTTAGCAATCTGGAACTGTGAGCGCCTAAAACACTGTATTTTTTAAGAGTCTCATGCTCTACCGACTGAGCTAGCCGGGCACCTAGAACACTGTGTTTTTTAGAAATTACATTTCAGCTATGGTAAATTTTCCCTTTAAAAAATTTAGGCAGTAGCATTAAACATTTTTCCTATCCTTTATCATGGATTTTCTCCATATCTGACATTCTTGTGTTCAAAAACAAATGACAAGGTTGTTAAGTAATGCATATATTAAACACTGTGGTCTGGCCTTATCATTTTAAGAGTTATTTGTGGATATGTAAAAGGAAAAAGGGACCCTCCGTTTTGTGAACTGCCTCCTCTCTAAGGAAGAGCAGAGGACCTGTCTGCATCTGCTTCTGTTGTCTGAGCTGCAGTGCCAGATCTCAATTCTGGCCGTGGTTTTGAGTTTCTTCATAGAACCTAGGTCTACACCACCAGACCCTTTACCCTACGTCTCCCTGGGAGACATTTTTTAAAATGCCAGGGCGACTGCTTTACCTCAGTGGTATCAGCACATTGTAAATTATGTTCACACACAAAACTCACTGTGATTATAGGAGTGGTATCAAACACAAGCAGTGCTGTGTGAGTTCCCTCGAACAGAAAGCAAAAGAAATGCCAGCTGACACCATGGTCAGGAAGTAGTGTGAGTGGAGCAGGTAGCATGCTGCCACACGGTTCCTTTCCCACTGCCACGTAATGCAGGGGCACAGAGCAGGCACCTGGAGGAATTAAACATCAAGGAAGCCAGGACATGTCTTTGCAAAGTCAGGATTCTATGTACATTTCCTTCTGGGAATGTCATTTCTGTTGTATGTCTGAATTTTAAAACGTTTAGTGGTAGATAATGGATTTAAAGAGCAGCTAATTGGCCACCTGCCATTGTTGAGAAACCACGTTTTGATTGGTTTGTGAAGGAACTGAGAATTAGCCGATTAGAGGCTAATGTATTTATTTTTAGAGATACAGGTTTTAAGTATGTGTATTTTAAATTTTTTTCATGGCCTGAGTTTTACATATATCTGTGTGTGTGTGTGTGTGTGTGTGTATATCTATATACATAAATATACATATACATACATGTGAGTGTATGCAGCAGTGTATATTCTTTCTACTACTGCAGTCAGAAGTGAAAATCCGAATGACGTACTACCTAGTAGACTGAATATCTGTTAAGATTTGTATATGTGATAGCACAGGTTAACCAAAATGTATTTACATTCACCTGAGTTTAAATGTTTTTAAACAAAGTTTTCTCCTCCAGTGCTTTTCTATATGAAGTAGTAGTGTCATGCTCAGGTGTTTTCTTTTGCTGTCCCCAAGTTATATAATGTAATGTATAGTGAATCTATCCAAAATGCCATTTTAGGTATGCTCTTGTGTGTTTGGGCGATGAAGGAATTAAAACGTCCAACTGTCACATGACCAGAAAGATGGAGATTTGTCAGGGTTCCATAGTGTCTTGTACAAAACAGATCTAAAAAACACTTATGGGACTCCAAATAGTCTGATGCCTCCTTCACCTGGATTAGTGACTTTTCATATCATATGTTGCTTTCTCCTGAGCCTGGGTAAATGCAGAGCCCTTTTGCTGATGTAAGAGCAAGCTTTTGCCAGTGATCTTTAATGGAGTTAAATGTTTATGGTAATTGTAACCTTTTAAATGAGTTATGTGAAAAAAGCATCTCATTTTTAATACAGCCAGATATTTTCCTCCTTGCATTGTGCATTTTCCAGCAGTTAATTTTCTTAGTCTTTCCTTTCTTTTCAACTATAGTGAAGTATAGTAGTTGGCCTTATAAGTAAGCCCTTGTGGCCCCTGAACACACTATCACCTGCAGTATCATAGAGAGTCATCTAGAAAGTCAGAGGGGAGGGGAGTGTGGGACTTGGGGCCAGGATTGGGAACATAGGAGAGAAACACTTCCCTTCTCAGCCCACTTCACAAAACCACGGAAGTTTTGTATTGTAGGTAAGAATAAGAAAACTTTGCTTTTCTGAGTTATCATATATAAAAGTTTTGCATTGTGTTTGGAAAGATGTGGATGACTCGGTTACCTGGATGGTTACATTTGCTTTCTGTGAAATGCTCAGAAAATGCCAGGACTTTCCTTCTCTGATGTGTGTCAATGTAAATTGTAATAAAACAGCTGGTCTATGTTTCTCTCTCATCGACGTTTCTAGCTATCTCTCTCCCTTCTTCTCTGTGAAAAATCAATAAAATATATTTAAAAAAATTTTTTTTTCTCCAACCCCTTAAAATGTAAAATCCACTCTCACCTCAGTTCATACAAAAACAGGCCTCCGGTCAGTTTAGGCCTTCAGGTCAGTTTGCCAAACCCTAGTCTAGAGCATACACAAGCCTAGTGACTAGAGCATGATTATTGTTTTATCCTTAACCCTTTGCACTCTGAACCATTCTGGACATTGGCTACCAGCTACTCGATGCTACTTTGCAGCGGACACGTGCGTAATCACTAATAAACTGCAATGTCCCCTGAGAGGGGACATCCGAGTGATATGCTAGAATTCCGATGTCCCCTGAGAGGGGACAGCGGAGTGCAAAGGGTTAAATAATGGTATTATAGTGCCATTTTTGTTGCTTACCTAACTTGTGTAATTTGTATCAATAGCACACAATAAACACATAAAAGAATACTTAAATAGCAAAGCAGTAGTTAGCATTTCAAAGAGCAGTAATACAGTAATAATACTCATCACCAAGACTGCACAAGAAAAAAAAAACCTATGGAAAATAAAGTTTACCAGTATTTCAGAAATTCCTGCACTGTACCATGCTGTCTTTTCTTTTTTTCAGACTGTTTTTTCCCTCCATTCCTTTGCTTATGTCCATTAAGTTCACCAGTTACCCACAATTTCTTTTATATGCACCAGGTCAAACTCAATTCCACAGCCCTCTGAATAAGACCAACTGAATCTAATTACTGAGTTCTCTAACATTGTTTGGATGAAGAATCTTAGTAGAAGATTGGAAAGATGAGGGATACAGATGAAAGTATTCAGAATAAATAGCCAATATATGCTAAGTGCCAAAAGAAGGTAGAGATTATTCCCCGATGTACATATTTCTAATCCGTTTCCATGCCCCTTTAACTGGCATATACTATGGGGAGTGGGGACAGACACTTGTACTTATTGAACTACACCTATACATGTTGCTCGTAACTTTAAATTCAATTGTATTAACATTTTACAGTTTCAAAGAAACCAAAATGCCTATACTGATACTGTACACACATAAATTTCCAGGGCGGGGTCCCCCTACCCCTACCCCTACCCCCATCATGGACTTGTAACTCAATGAAAATAATTTCCCACAGTCACATCACTCCGCAATTCTTAAGACATTCAATTATGGTTAAAAGAGCAAGGCCGTTGTGGTGACCAGGTTTAGCATCCTAAATCCCAGGTGTACCCCACCCCCTTCTATCAGAATGACCTTAAGCAAACCGCTTAACCTAAGCCTTTCCCCCTCCTCTGTAAAATGAAGCATCTACTTCACGTGCCTGCTGTTAAAAAGTAAATGGAAACAATTTCAGAGTGCTTCGTGCATATCAAGAGCTCCTTCAATGCAAATTATTAGTACTATCCTCATCGTCCAAAACCAATTAATGCGACTGTCAAGACTGGATTACTGGGTACTTTTGTTCTCAGTGATTTTGAAAATCTTAGCAGAGGATAGATACCTAGTTAAAAGACTGCCAGGTGGGGGGAACTCGACCACATTCTTGCAGCAAACTAAATCAGCGCTGTCTGCACCTGCACGTGTGCCTTGTTTTACACTGACCACCGCAAAGCCCGCAGGAAAAAAAAAAAAATTTTAAATGTCAAAGATGTCCAAGAGATTAAACGGTATGTCTGGGACATGCTCCCAACTAACCCGGGGAGGAGGGCTAAGTCCGGCCACCGACTCCGGTAACTGATGGAGGTGGGCGACGGGTGCGCCCTAGTTCCCTACACCGGCCTCTCAGCCTCGGCATCCTGTGAAGATTCCCCTAAGACAGTGTTTCCCAAACTTCTCTCATGAGAATCACCTGGTGGAGCTGTTAAACTACAGATTCCCGAATCCCAACTGAGAAGTGCTAAACTAGAATTTTTGGGAACATACAGGTAAAATTGTATACTTAGCTAGTGCTCTAAGCTTAGAGCTTATATGAGCTTAGAGCTTAATTTTATATGTCCAAAGGTCTTAATGTCAATCCGGGTCCCAGGAAGGCTCACAGGGAAGTTGTGCGAGGCGACGAGTCGAACCACCACCCCCGCCAGGTGAGGCCGCCGCCGCCTCGCAGGGACCAGCGGGCGCTCCACCTCCCGGAATCCCGGCGCCCGCTGGGCGCTGAGGCTGCCGCCGCCGCCGCCCGCCCCGTCCGGTCCGGTCCCGGGAAAGGGCGCGACACCCGAGGGGACCGCCGCCTGGCGGTGAGCGAGCGAACGACGGGCTCCGAAGGCGGGGGAGGGGGCAGGTACGCGGGTGAGTCCCAGCCTCCAGCGCATTTCCTCCGAGTTCCCTCCGCTCCGCCGAACCTCCCACCCCTCCGGGCCTCCAGCCGCCCCGACGGCCCGCTGCCTCTCCGCTTCCCTTCGGCCGCCGCGCAGCCGTCCAGCCCGTCCCCGAAGCCCGCCCGCCCGCCCGCCAGCCTCCCCACAAGCCCGAGCCCCGCTCCTTCCGCCGCTGCCCCGACGGTTACCAGGGCTTCCCGGCGCCGCGAGGCCGTCGCCCCGACGCGAACCGTCCCCCCGCCAAGTCCCAGGCTCACTCACCCCGGCCGCGAGGCAGCGAGGCGGCGTCTTCCTCTGCGACTCCGGCTTCCAGCTTGGCGGTCCCAGGACGTGGCTGCCAATCACCCGATCTCCGCCCCGAGCCGCGGCCAGACTGGCCAATCAGCGGCCTCCTCCGGCCCGGAGGCGGGCCCCGGGCTCAGAGCGGAAGGCTTAGGGTGCCGCCCCACGCGCCGGCGGCCGCCCCCTCGCAGCCATTGTACGCACGCGCGGGGCTCCGCTGGGTGCGGGCGCTTTTCCTGGGACCTCGCTTTGTGGCCTCACTGCTCCGCCCCGGGAAGCACTTTGTGTGGAAACCTCGGGCCTCTCTAGGGGTGCGGGACGACCCATGTTCTGAATGCAGCCTGAAGTGGGTAATACCTTGAAAGGAGCTGGGAGATGTAAGCCCTTGTTAGCCTAACATATGTTGAGACCTTCATCCCACACCAGCTGTAGACTGGGTTTGCACGCGGGAGATCTGTTGCTTCAGTGGACCTCATGTCTGCGTTGTGTGAGAAAAGAGAATGTAGGGTCCTTACAGAGTGCCTGATAGATGAGGATTTTAGTTTACCAGCTTCAGTTCCAGCATTCTGTTTACTATGATTCATTGGGACACCTGCTTTTTTTTAATAGTGCTTTTTTAAAAATAATATTCTAAGGCACGCTGGATTTCAAATAATTTGGTCATGAAAATACAGCAAGGAGTGTGTGAAGGTCTGATAAAACATTCCTATGTAGGGGCGTTGGAAGGAGAAACCTATCAGTATTTATGTACAGCCTTTCCAAAGACTGTTGCTGATAGGCTGTGTCACTTACCCTCCCATTGTAACTGATACCAGAGGTCACTGGGCTGGCACCCGCGCTCTCATTCTGATACTGGCGCCTGAGTCTTGCCCTGGCAAGGGCTTTCCTCTTTCAGCAAAACACTACTTCATTTACTCAACAAGGGCTTTTGGGGGGCCCACTGTGACAGTACAAAGATTTTTTTTTTGTTTGTTTTAAGCCGGGAACCACACCCTCAGTGAACCTACAGGCTAACAGGGAGATAGAAATGTAAATGTAACGTATATAACCAAATGTTGTAATGAAGGTATGGAGAGAGGGAATGTTATAATGAAGGTATGGAGAGAGGGAATGTTGTAATGAAGGTACGGAGAGAGGGAATGTTGTAATGAAGGTATGGAGAGAGGGAATGTTGTAATGAAGGTACGGAGAGAGGGAATGTTGTAATGAAGGTACAGAGAGAGGGAATGTTGTAATGAAGGTACGGAGAGAGGAAATGTTATAATGAAGGTATGGAGAGAGGGAGCCTGGAAGCAAACCCTGCCCAGGGGCTCACGGAACACATCAGAGAGGGGTGAGTGGGAGGTCTAGGCATGGGGTGTGCTTGCTGAATCTAGCCTGTCAATACACAGAGCAGGGAAATAGACTACCAATTTGTGTTTTCATTCTTGGTTTATATTTCTGTGATAGGCGGCATCTAAAGAGGTCACCCATGGTCACTTCTTTCTGGTATTCACAAGCTCCCATGTCCAGTAGCCTGTGAGAAACTGAATTCTGCGAACAGCCATGTGAGTGAATCTGGAGAAAGAGCCTCTCCCACTTGTGCCTTCAGAGGAAGGCCCTGAGCCAGAGATATCCAGCTGAACTGCACATGGATTCCTCATACACAGAAGATCTGAGATAATAAATGATTGTTGTGGCAAGCTGCTACCTTTTTTAGTAATTAGAAAACGATGGACAGCTAATATGATTTCTGTCTCTGACACAAGATCAATGGTTCTTAAGTATACTTTGAAGCTTGTTTGAAAATACGTAAGCCCAGCCCTGCCTGGGGTGGCTCAGCTGGTTGTTGATTTGGTTCCCGATTGGGGCACATGCCCAGGTTGCAGGCTCAGTCTCCTGTGGACGGTGTGCAGGAGGCAGCCGATGGATACTTCGCTCTCACATGCACATTTCTCTCTCCACCTCTCTCTCACTCTAAAAATCAATAAAAATGTTTGAAAAAATACATAAGTCCAGGCCTCTTCCTAGAATCTAAAGTGATTTGTATGCATAGCTAACTTTGGAAACATATAAAAGATTACAGGCAACCCATTTGGGGATTTTAGAAAAAAAAAATAACTTTATTTTTCTTTTTAGTGTATCTGATTCTGGAGTTTTTACCCAAATTAAGGCTCAGCTTTCTTGGCAGAATCCAAATGGACTGTAACTTCATCTGCTAGTTGGAGTATTTACTGAATAGAGGAAAAGAATCAGAGCTTTCATTCACTTTATGGCCTTGAAAAAAATCCCTTGACCTTTCTATGCTTCCAGATGGCTAACTGGAAATTAAAGGATTATAATGTCATTATTTAAGCAGAGATTTATCCATTATTAAGTATATATTAGGCTAGTATTATTAGGTGATCAAGGCACATTGTGGGCCAGCTTCCTTGTAGAGATTTAACAAAAGATCAGGTTCCCATTTGTTCATGTTGGTAGACAGTGAAGCTTAATTCTATTGTAGAAAGAATGTGGGTTTCCAAATCAGACAGACTCATGTTCAGTTATGCCTCTGCCACATGCCAGCTATGTGGCCTTGGGCAAATCAATCAGCCTCCCTTGGTCTCTGATGTGCTCAGTGGGGGAAAATAGCCACCTCAAAGGTGGCCCTGAGGACTGATGTAAAGGCAATGCCTCACTTAGCTCAAGAGCTCTATAAATAATAGCTGTGAAGGACATATGGTCAGCTCACGTCATTGTGATCCAGTGGTAGAGGACAAATGTCCACATGTGTCCATCAGCCTGCTTCTCAGATTAGGTTTAATGACAATCCCATTTGGTGAGGTAGGTAATAATCTGCAAAACGTACACAGTATCTTCCATAAAAATCCAGAGCCTTTCTCTCTAGTTCTGCTTTTTCTCCAGCTCTGATAGCCTGTCTGTAGAAAAGATAACACTGAAATGGGCCTCAAATGGTCCTGAGTTAAAATTCAGGAAAACCTAGCTGGTAAAATTCCACTGGGGAGAGCAGTGAAGTGCCCTTGTGAGGGTGCTTTAGGACACGGTGGGGCTGGATGTGTCCAGGAGAGGATTTCGGCTACAAGGACTACGGTAATTGGTGGGCCAATATCATCTCACATGAGGTGCAAGTTCAAACATACAGCTAAATGCCAAATATTTTAGATCCATTAGCTTCAAGCTCTGATCACTATTAAAGGCAAATATGGTTGAGAGAGAGAGAGAGATCTTTTAAATCCCCTAAGTCATGTAAATCTCAGTGCAAATGAAAGTGTTTACAATGGTGCCCAGTGAAAGATTGTTGAGCTATTTGATTTAATCATGCAGTGTTGAGTACATTTGGTTATTCTAAGCCTTGATATTTTTTTTTCTTCTCAGATCAGTATACAAAGTGATCTGATATATATCCAAAAATATGTATATCCAAATAAATGAAAAGACCTGCCTTCCAGAGACTGTGACATTTCTTTCTGTAAATCAGTTCTTGGGATATACCCTGACTTGCAGAACTCTTTTATTTTAATGTTTTTTAATTAGGTTTTATTTTTTAAATTGTAATTATGGAAAATGTCAAACATACACAAAAGTAAGAAGCATATGCAATGAATCCTTGTGTGTCCATCATACAGCTTCAACAATAAGCAAACTCATAGCTTCTGGTTCTATCCATAACTTTTCCAGGCCTCGTTCATTCATTTTGTTTGTTTGCTTTGGAGGTGCTGGAGAATAAACCACACGGGCCTCATACAGTCAAACTTTTAGATCCTTTTGAAGTGAATTTCAGGCATGTCATTTCAACCATAAATATTTCAGTGTGTATCATTAGGAGTTAAGGAAGTTTTTTTTTTTTTAAGGAGTCTTTTTTAAAACATAGCAATATTGTCAGTATCAGGCCTAAAACATTGATCATGTTTCTTAATATCATCAATCCAGTGTTCAAATTTATTTGAGTGTCCTATTTATTTATTTATTTATTTATTTATATTGTTGACTATTACTGATGTCACCATTTCCTCTCCCTTTATTTTTTACTTTTTTTTTTTTTTTTTTTTTTTTTTTACAATTGGTTTCTTTGAATCAGAATATTAAAAAGAACTACACATCATGTTTGGTGAATATCTCTGAAATATATATATTTTTTACATAATCCCCTTCTCCACCCTTTTTGTTTTGAAAAAGAAAGATTTTTGTCCTATAGAAATTTCCCACATTCAGGATTTTGTTGATTACATTCCTATGGTACCATTTAACAAATTCCTTCTGTAAACTGGTAGTTAAATATAGAGGCTTGATTTGATCCAGGTTAAATTTTTGACTAGAATACTTCATAGGTAGTGGTGCATACTTCCATACTACATAATGTTCATGTGTTTCTCTTCTTTGTAACATTAATGGCTATTAGTGATCATTGCCAACATCCACGATCTCATTAAGGGTTTGCAAAATGGTGATATTCTATCATTCCTATTAGTTATTTGGTTACCTTGAGGAATGTAAAGAAAAGCATGTTGAATGCTTGTTTCTTAATATTTACCAGTTTTCAGATAATTATCCCACATCACCTATTTTGTTATTCTGAAGTATAGTACATAAACTAGTAAAAAAGATAAGTATAATGCTTGGTTTGATTCTTTTTATTTACCAATTTTCAGGGAAGTGAGTTGGTTCCTTTAAATTCTCTAAAGATTTTTCTTTACCCCCCACTTCCAGGATTAGTAAGCACTTATGAATTTTATCCTTATAAATGAGCTTTTACCAGATCTATGCTGGGTAGTAGATTCTTATACAGAGAGAAGTGGGGCTAAATATACTTTTATGGAATATCTTCTAAGCATCTTCTCTAGCACTAAGCTATGTGCTCTTACACTATTTTAATTCCGACAGCAATCTTGAAAGGCAGGTACCTTGGTCTCTGTTTTTTTCTTTTTAAAAATATATTTTTATTGATTTCAGAGAGGAAGGGAGAAGGAGGATATGCTGTCTCAGTGCATATCCCCAGACAGCAACATCAATGATAAGAGAGAATCACTGATCAGATGCATCCTGCACTCCCCACACTGGGGATCAGGCCTGCAACCTGGCATGTGGCCTGATTGGAAATCAAAATATGACCTCCATGTTCATACATAAACATGGAGCCACATCAGCTGGGCCCAATTTATATTCTTTACCCAATTTCTATAGGGTCGTTTATTCCCTTCTTGACAACTTGTAATTGACTTTTGAATGTTACACTTTTCATCAGAGCACAAAGGATAAGGAGGCTTTGGCTAGAACGAAATGATAAAGATTTATAGTCAAGTGTCTCAGAATTTTCAAATCATAAACACAACTAGGCAATACCCAGAATATTTTGAAGAAGAAGAAAGAAAAGCTGAGAGTTCTTATAGTAAAAAGTACATACTTGAGAAGACTCAGTCCTGCTTCCTTAGCCTCTGGATTGTTCTGAGATGATAACCTTCCGGAAGACCAATGGTCTGGATAATGGATGTCAGGTGCTCTTGATGTGTAAACATTCTTTCCTATATTTTCCAGAGAGTTATCTATAGGAGATGTATATATAATCTTCAATTAGAACTATTTCCTCACGCCTCAGCTTATTTGGCTTTAGTATCGATAACTTAGTAGGTTAACCACAGTGACTCCATTTTATTCCTCTCTTTTCCTGACCTTCTATCTGCCCAATGAGTTGCAGACTTAACTCAAACCTTCTTTCTGTTGACATTGCTAATACATCTTTTTGCCATACAAAAAAACTCCTTTAAAACAAGTCAAATATGTGCGTTTCTTTCTTTTTTAACTGCAGGTTCCAGCCTTATTTAGTCTCCCCTACTTTTTGTTGCATGTACGGTAGTAACCAATATTTTTCTGACAGGATTTTTTTATGTTTATTTCTTTACAATTGAGTTTTTAATCCATTTGGAATTTATTTTGCTAAATGATGGATATGGATACAATTTTATTTTTTATCCAGGTGAATAGTCAGGGCTCCTATTTATAATTTTTTCTCATCCTTTAAAATGTTCTATTTTGACATGTTGTTAAGTATTAACATGACAGTATATCAAAGAATTTATGAATAAATACACATACATATATCGAAGCTATAGGGTCAAAAAATGTTTTAAGTAAAAAAATGTTTTGGGAACCATTGTACTATCAGTGTTTCCCAAACTTTTGACATATGTGTACCCCTTCTATAATTTTCGTAATGCTGAGTACTCCTCGTACTCATGAGAACATAGAATTAGGCGCAGCTAAGCACGGAGCAGTGCATATCCCCACCAAACTCCGGTGCAACGTGTACCCCCACCAAACTCTTCCCGTACCCCTATGGGGTACATGTACCACACTTTGGGAAACACAGTACATGAGCTCCTTGAGGACAGTAATAATGGTTTTTCTTATCTTTTCATTCATTGCTAAGACTGTCTCTTGCATGTGTTTCAAAAATGGTTGTTAAAAAAACTGAGTGAATGAAACTGCCATTATCTTATTCATGTGTCTTAAGCAACACAGCCACTGAGAAACTTGATATTCCAGCTGTGTCTTGTGGCAAGATATCTGAGGCTAAGAACAAGCAATGATTCATAATGGCAAATAGTGTGACTTCACAGGTGTCAAGTGCATATATTTTCAATATGAGAATATAAACTATTTATGTATTTGTTTGTTTTTCATTCCTCACCCAAAGATATTTTTCCATTGATTTTTAGAAAATGTGGAAGGGAAGGGGGAGAAACATTTATGTGAGATTGGTTGCCTCCCACATTGCACACACCCTGACCAGGGCCAGGGATGGGAATCGAACCTGGACTCTTCAGTCCACAAACACTCACTCTCTTTATCCACTGAGCCCAACTTGCTAGGGCAATAATATAAATTCTTAAAGCCTTCAAGACTTCCCTATGAACTATAATTCATAGATGCTTATGAAACTGGTAATTTTTTTTTTTTTTTTTTTTTTTTTTACAAATACGTTCCCTGGTTTTTAATACCAGTCATCTAACCTCTATATGGCAATTTACTAGGAAAAACGTCTCTCTACACTGTCAGAAAGGTGATTATATTTAATTTACCTTTTAAAAATGTATTTTTGTTGATTTCAAAGAAAGGGAGAGGGAAAGATAGAATCACCAGTGGTGCCCTAACCGGTTTGGCTCAATGGCTAGAGCTTCCACCTGGATACTCAAGGATCCCAGGTTCGATTCTGGTCAAGGGTATGTACCTTGGTTGCCCCCACATCCCCAGCAGGGAGTGTGCAAGAGGCAGCTGATCGATGTTTCTCTCTCATCAATGCTTCTCTTTATCCCTCTCCCTTCCTCTTTGTAAAAAATCAATAAAAATTTTTTAAAAAGAAAGAAAGAAACATCAGTGGCAAGAGAAAATCATGGATAGGCTGCCTCCTGCATGCCCCCCACTGGGGATCGACCCCGAAACCCAGGCTTGTGCTCTGGCCAGGAATCGAACCATGACCACGTCCAACTACTGAGCCACACCAACTGGGCTAGACTTACACTTCATATAGCTTTCTTTGTACACTTACAATTTCCTCTCCCACCCTCCACCCCCCACCCCCACCCCCCATTTCAGAAATAGATTGGTTTGGTTGATTGTTAACAAGTGAGGCTGGAGTTCCTAGCGCCCTAGACGAGTATCCTCTCCTTTTTCTTTGTTCACTGCGTTCTCTGCGTTCACTTATAACCATCCCCTCTTGTGACTTTGGGAAACAGAAACCATGCCCAACCTTTTTTTTTTTTTTTTTTTTTGCAATAGGTCAAACAGTGCAAACGAGACCTTTCCTGCTCCACTTTGCTCCTATTTACTGTTCGAGTTTATTAGAAGGAAGCTAACGCAAGAATCAGGGAAGGTAAGTACATTTGAGCAAAAGCAAACTTTTGGCTTTTAAGTTCACTTACAGACGCATCACAGCACCTTGCGGACTTCGCGCTGCTAGGAAGACTCAGACAGGAGCGAGACATGAACGAAAGCCTCCGGTAGTGCCAGTGTTCTTGGGGGGAAATCAAATACATTTTAAAGATTATGAAGTAAGACTCAGAGAAGCGAATGAAATTGCTTCCTGAGAACTACAAGAGTTGCTAGAGAAACACACACACACACGTTCCATTTGAATTTCTGAACGCAAGGAGGGGAGCGCGGGGAGTCGGAGCCGAGGAAGGGCGAAGGTTTCTCCGCTGGAACCAGTTCCGCGGACGGCGAGGCGTTCGGTCCAGCCCCGGCTCCAGGCTTCTCATTGGACGCTCCCGCTCCACACTCAGGGCATTGCCCCAGGTGACCAATGAACGCTCCGGCCCAAGAAAGCCTTCGCCGATTGGGCGCCTTCCCTTCGCGTCGCAGCGGCGCCAGCCAATCAGAGGGCAGTCCCGCCGGAGGTTTCAGGGTCATGGGGGAGAGTCCGTAGAAGCTCTTTCCGCTGGCGCCCTCGCCGTTCGGCTTTAGGAGTCAGTGTCCGCTGCATCCGAGGCCGCGGCGGCGGCTGCGAACGGAGGGGACCCCCCCCCTCCCCACGCCCCTCTGTCTCGTCCCTCGGTGCGGCCCCGATGGTGCGGCAGGCCCCGGATTCCTGAAGCCCTGCAGCGGTACGTAGGGTCCGCGGGCGGGAGACAAAGCGGAGGCGCCGCCGGGAAGGCCGCGGAGAGCGGACCCTGCTCCGAGGCGGCGGGGCGGCCTGGGCAGGGCGCTCGCTCGGCCTCCCTTCCGATCGGGACGCCGCCGGGCTCTTTAAAGCGCCCGCTCCCATGTGCCCTGGGCAAATGTTAGCCTTACTCACTTCCTCTCTGTCGGATCTTTACGAATCCTAGCGTTATTCATGGGTGTCATCTCCCTCCATCTCTCCGGGTGCTTCTTCGGTAACTTTCTGTTCGTTTTCTGCCCCATCGTGTCTACACACTAAGAGTACGATCACATGGTTTGTGTTTGACTTCATTCAAGAGAGACCAGTCTTCACATCCTTGTATTTAAAAACAAAGCAAAGCCCTTCTTGGGATGCATTCGTGCTGTCAGCAACTCCTTTGGGGGTTAGGACGGTGCAGGACATACCCCCCCCCCCCCCCCCCCCCCCCCCCATCTGGGGGAATGGAAGTCCCCGCAGGATCAAGGATTGTTCTTGTTTGGTAGCTGCCGGTACTCTATTCATATCATCTTAAGTTTTCATTTTCTTTTGATCTGGAACAGCTACTCAGGATTATGAAGTGAGGAAACTGAGGCTCGAAGCGGGTACACCAACTTTTCAAAGAGTTGCTGCCGGTTGCTAGTCAGGGGAAAGCCAGAAGTATATCAGTGCTGTCTTTTAAAGACTCACCTTCCGGACCAGGGGTGTGTGTGTGTGTGTGTGTGTGTGTGTGTGTGTGTGTGTCCGCTTCTTAGTGTATATGCGAGCTTAGTAATTCTTTGAGTCGAATCACAAATCTTGGCTGAAAGAAAAATCTTTCGGACATCTACCCTACAGGTGTCTCACATCTATCACTTAACTCTTGGTTTTTTACAAGTGTAGTTCCCCTGAGCACCATAGTCCTCCCCTGGAAGCTTGTTGGAAATGCTGAATTTCATGCCTCACCCCACCTACTAAATCAGAATCTGCTTTTTAACAAGATCTCTTAGGTGACCAGAGTGCTGGTTAACGTTTGGGGAGTATCCATTATCTTGTAATGATTTGTCCAAATTGAACCAAATAAATAAACATATAAATAGATAAATAAATAAATAAATAAATAAATAAATAGAAAAATAAAAGGTATGCAGTATGTACGTATGTGTTTTAATAAGACGAATTATAAAGACAGAATTTTTGTTTGTTTTATTTTTACATTTTTCTCATTTGCTGGTGAGGATGTGATTTTAAAAAATTAGCTATGTCTGTTTTGGCAATTTTAGCTTTGCATCCAAAAATCTTAAAATATACATGAATATTTAAATAGTAATTCAAAACTAACTTGCATCAGGTGCTGGTCTTAAAGGTAAAAAAAAAAAGCAGGCCCAGCTGGTGTGGCTCAGTGGTTGAGCCTGGACCTATGAACCAGGAGGTTACTGTTGGATTCCTGGTCAAGGCACAAGCCCATGTTGGGGGGGGTGGGGGGGGTCCATCCCCAGTAGGGGGCATGCAGAAGGGAGACCATCAATGATTCTTTAATCATCTCTCTCTCTCCTTCTCCTTTCCTCTCTGAAATATAAAAAATATGTCTTAAAAGCTTGTCTAATTTAGGGGAGCAAATCACAGCTCCTGCCAGCCTTTCTTGCCTTTCTTTAAGTGTCATAGGAAATGCAGTACGTGGCCACAGCTTCAGCCTCTGCTCTTTATGCTTGGGTATTTGGTGCCTTGTTATATTTCTGACCTTTTCCTTTGTATACCCCTTATTTGAGCCCTCTCCCCACCACTGAGCTTTGAGGGTTGGAAGTTTTTACTGTTTTGACTTTTGTTCATCCCAAAGGAACAAGAAGCCTGTACGCTTTTCAGAATACTTCCCACTAGTAATTAGTTCTCTAAGGACTCCCTTGGTGAGAATAGAGCTCGTCAGTTTCAAGGCCAATGTTTTATGTAAAAAGCCATCACCTGAGTATTTGGTTCTTTTTAAAAAATATATATTTTATTGATTTTTTACAGAGGGGAAGGGAGAGGGAGAGAGAGTTAGAAACATCGATGAGAGAGAAACATCTATCAGTTGTATACCCCCTACTGGGGATGTGCCTGCAACCAAGGTGTATGCCCTTGACCGGAATCAAACCTGGGACCTTTGAGTCTGCAGGCTGACACTCTATCCACTGAGCCAAACCAGTTAGGGGAAATATTGGTTCTTTTTGAAATATATTTTTATTGATTTCAGAGAGGAAGGGAGAGGGAGAGAGAGATAGAAACATGAATGACGAGAGATAATTATTGATCAGCTGCCTCCTGCACATCCCACACTGGGGATTGAGCCTGCAACCCAGAAATGTGCTCTTGACGGGAATCGAACCTTGGACTCTTCAGTTCACAGGCCAATGCCCTATCCACTGAACAAAACCAGCCAGGGCCAAATATTTGGTTCTTAACTGTGACTTGGTTCTTGTGCCTTTGAACCAGTAATTAGTTCTGCTGATTCCATTTTGAATTAGGGTTTGTGTTAGTGACAGCACATAAAGCTCATGGGTAAGCTGGTTTATAAACAGGGATATTCAGGCTGTTGATAATAGAAGCACCTAAGATACACCATGCCCCCAAACCCCGTCTTATCCCTGTGTATTCAGTCTACTTCTTTAAGTCTTTTTAAAAAATTGCTCCAGTAACTGTAATATTTTCATTTCAGAAAATTGTCTCCCAAATACTATCTTGATAAAGCACTGTTTTCTCTGAATCCTTTATTTTTCATTTGCTTGCAGACTTAAAAACTTACTAATTTTATCTGGAATATGATTTTTTTTTAACATGGTATGAGTTAAAGATTCTTAGCAGTGGGTTTTAAAAATTGCTTAGAAGTCATTCATAATTATTGAATAATTTTTCTCTTTTTTGTTTCCTGAAGATACTTTATTTTTTTAATTTTATTTTTTACATATAATAGTAGTACATATATCTCTTTTTTCCCCCCATTGACTTTCCCCCAGCCTTCCCTATCCCCTGTCCCATGCCCTCATCCCCCACCCCGCAGTGTCTTGTGTCCATTGGTTGTGTTATATGCATGCATACAAGTCCTTTGGTTGATCTCTTCCCCCTCCCAACACTCCCCAGCCTTCCTGCTGTAATTTGACAGTCTGTTCGGTGCTTTAATGCCTCAGTGTCTATCTTTTTGTTCATCAGGTTATAATGTTCTTTATTATCCATAAATGAGTGAGAGCATGTATTTTTCTTTCATTGCCTAGTTTATTTCACTTAACATAATGTTCTTCAGGTCTGTCCATGCTGCTGCAAATGGTAAGAATTCCTTCTTTTTTAAAGGAGCCTAGTATTCTGTTGTGTAGATGTACCATAGTTTTCTAATCCACTCATCTGCTGATGGGCACTTAGGCTGTTTCCAAATCTTAGCTATGATGAATTGTGCTGCTATGAACGTTAGGGGTGCATATATTCTTTCTGATTGGTGTTTTATTGAATAGTTTTTCATTGATTTTTGACTCCATGTAATTTTTAAAAAAAATATATAGCTTATTGATTTTTTTACAGAGAGGAAGGGAGAGGGACAGAGCTAGAAACATTAATGATAGAGAAACATCAATCAGCTGCCTCTTGCACATTCCCTACTGGGGATGTGCCCGTAACCAAGGTACATGCCCTTGACCGGAATTGAACCCGGGACCTTTCAGTCCGCAGGCCAATGCTCTATCCACTGAGCCACACCGGTTTTGGCTCCATGTAACTTTTAACTATCATTTATTGAGCATTTACTATGAGCTAGGCACCAGTTTTAACATGTACTTTACTTTGGACATTGCACCATTTGGTAGCTGCTACAACTAACCCCATTTTACAGATTAAGAAACTGATAAAGAGTATAAGTGGTTTGCCTAAAATTATGGTTACCATGAAGTGGGCCCTGGGTCTGACTCATTTTATTGAGTATGTAAACAGCTTTTCTGGGAGTAATATTTTTATCTCTTTGTACCTCCACCCCACTCCTGCTGCTTTACTCTTAATAAGCTTGTAAATTTAAATGTATGGTAGAGCCAGTTCTACTTTCTTACATCTCTCCCCCAATAACTTAAAAAAAATTTTTAATTGATTTTCAGAGAGAGAGAAGCAGAAACATCTATGTGAGAGTGAAACATCAGTTGGCTGCCTCCTGCACGCCCTACTGGGAGTGAAACCTGACAGGGAATTGAACTGGCAACCCCTGGGTGCATGCAGGTCAACACCCAACCAATCGAGCCAAACTGACTACAGAATAACTTTAAATATATTTTTATTTTATTGATTTCAGAGAGGAAAGGAGATAGAAACATCAATGATGAGAGAGAATCGTTGATCAACTGCCTTCTGCACATCCCCTTTTGGGGATCGAGCCCACAACCTGGGCATATGCCCTGCCTGGGAATCAAATTGTGACCTGGTTTATAGTCAGCCATGAACCACTGAGCAACACCAGCCAGTCCAAAGTAACTGTAATAGCTTTTCTATAGTTATAATTTTGTCTCCAGCATCTTTCCCCAGTTGGCAATGTTATTGAAATGAACATTAAAGTAGTAATTTGTGGAAAGTATTTGTACCTTTATATTCTTCCTAGTAAGGAGTATACATTGTGTAATTTGATTTGAAGTTATATTTTTAACTTTCTGTTTATATGAAGATTATTTTAAAATATTGTTTTCTTGGCTTTTGTATGTTTACCATATTACATTTTTAAAAAATATCATGTTCAGCCAAGACCGGTTTGGCTCAATGGATAGAGCGTTGGCTTGGGGACTGAAAGGTCCTGGGTTCGATTCCGGTCAAAGGCATGTACCTTGGTTGCGGGCATATCCCCAGTAGGGGGTGTACACCGCAAGAGGCAGTTGATCGATGTCTATCTCTCATCGATGTTTCTAACTCTCTATCTCTCTCCCTTCCTCTCTGTACAAAATCAATAAAATATATTTTAAAAAATATATATCATGTTCACTTTTATGGAATTGTATGAGAATGTAAAAGAATTGTATGGGAAGTGGAAAAACTGCTGACCAGTTTAAGAGCTAGTAAATAAGATTTTAGCCAAGTTCTATACCATATTAACTTTTGCCACCTAGGAGGAATTTAACTTCTCTATGACTGTTTACTTATCTGTCAAATGAATCCACCAAATTCTGTTTCATTCTTCTGAACATGGCACTCTCAGAGATGGACAGATGTGCTTAGGTTTAGATCAGACTCACTGTGACCTCCCAACTCCACTGGCTCAGGCCCAGGGTGAGGTACCCCTCTTGGTTTCTTTGTTCACAGCCTTCTTTGACTCTCTTTTTTCCTGATGGATTTTATCTTTTGTAGACTCAGTTTGCTGGGTTTTGTTCACAGATGAATAAGAAAAAAGCTGTCCCTGAGATGGGACTTAGACTCCAGAAGTATTCTAGAGAAAAAAGTACTGGCAGTGTTACAGTTTGAGAAGTGTAGTGAAGGTTGCGATCCTTTGTGTGTTACAATCTTGAACTGTAAAGATCTTGTTCATTGTGATATTTTAGTGTTAAAATATGTGTTACTAAAAGGAATTTATTGGACTATTGAAGATGACACATATTCTTTGAACATTGTATACACATAAATAACTTGATTTTTTTTTAAATATTTTAGTCAGCTGCCTATGTTCATTTTACTTAAACTGGAATTGCCAGTTCTTTTTTGTGATTTAGACTCATCTGTTCTTTCTTAAGGTGTTGTAATCCTAATTGTTTAACAAATGCCATAATGTCCTTCAGTAGCCTAGAACTAATTTTGCAAACTATTTCTACAGAATGTAAGAAGATTTTGTTCATGTGATTGGCAGAGAAGATGAATTCCTCCTCCTCCACCATGAATGAAGAACCCGATGCTCTATCGGTAGTTAACCAGCTGCGGGACCTGGCGGCAGATCCGTTAAATAGAAGAGCCATTGTCCAGGATCAGGGATGTCTGCCTGGCCTTATTTTATTTATGGACCATCCCAACCCCCCTGTTGTCCACTCAGCTTTGCTTGTAAGTTGCCTTTAGTGGTTTCAGTCTCGGTGTTGTAATTTTGCGATTAAGGATATTTTGAAAAATGTTTTCTGACACCAGTCAATTCTCTGATCCCCTGTGGATACCAGCTGTGTGTTCAACAGTCCAATTCAATTCTGCCACAAACTAGCTGGAGCTGTTAAACTCCAAGTCTCACAAGACTGCCCTCTCTTCAAAAGCCAGTTGAAAGTATTACATCACCCATATTTCTTTTCTTTTATTTTAATATATTTTATTGATTTTGTACAGAGAAGAAGGGAGAGAGATAGAGAGTTAGAAACATCGATGAGAGAGAGTCATCGATCAGCTACCTCTTGCACACCCCCTATTGGGGATATGCCCTCAATCAAGGTACATGCCCTTGACCGGAATCGAACCTGGAACCTTTCAGTCCCCAAGCCGACGCTCTATCCATTGAGCCAAACCGGTTTAGGCAACATCACCCATATTTCTAACAGAGCAGCTATAAATTGGGCGTTACACTGACCCCCTCCTCAGGTCTGGCAATTTATTAGAATGGCTCACAGAACTCAGGAAGCCACTTTATTTACGTTTCCTAGTTTATTATAAAGGATACATGGAACAGGAACACAGGGCGGGGTCTGGAAGCGTCCTGAGCACAGGAACTTCTATTCCTGTGGAGTTGGAGTGCACCTCCCTCCTGGCAAGGGGATGTAGTCACCACCTGAGAAATTGTGAATCTCCTTGTCCAGGGGTTTTTGTAGAGCTCAATCTCGCCACCCAGAAAGTTCCAAGGGTTTTAGGAGCTTTGTGCCAGGAACCAGACAGAGATCAAATATTTATTTTTTATTATACTGCACACCCCAACCTCCCCAACTCTGATCTCTGATCCCCTCACTCAGCAAGACCAGTGACCTCCATTTGGGCTCCTCCTCCCTGTGCTACAGTCTGGAAACTGCTTCCAACACAGTCAGATTTGGCAATTGTAGGGCCCCCTTTGTCATTTCTCTTCTCTCGGGGGTTACAGTTCTATGCTGCCTCTGGTCCTGATTATTATTTTTATTTTTTATGGAAGGATGGCAATTCCCATGGCTGTTAATCATTTATGGACTGAAATGAAAGTCAAGGTAGGAGAAGTTGCAGAAAGGATAGGACATTATAGACAGAGACAGGTTGAATTTGTGGTTACAGAGATGGTATCGTTTTTGGTAAGGACCAGGCACTTTGAAAATGGTGCAGTGGATAAAAAATGTGACTGTCACTGGACTGGGATGGCAGAGTTCTGGATGGTGTGGTTCACAGAAGTATTCTCCTGAGAATCATGTACCATCGTCTGGTAAATGATGAGAGATTATGGGGTTTACAGATTATGGGATCTCAGCTAATGAGATCCCTAGAGAATCGGCGTGCAAAGGATATACTTACAAAATGCACTTTACATTTTAAGAGAAAAGCACTCTAGGAAAAATGAACTCAGAAAGTAGAAATTTGTGAGGTGAGCTCATCTTTTGCTTTTCAGTACAAGAAGACGTATTGAAGGTGAATTGTAAAACTAGAAGCAGTTGATTCCATGAAGGTGGTTGGATGTTTTGACTCCCTCAGCAGTTTATTTTAATTTTTATGTGAAAAGCATCCAGGGAAATGATGGCTGTAGGGACTACTCCCTGAAATTAATAAATGGAATATAGTTTCTTGTATCCTTGACAAGATGGAGTGATAAAAATAAAACCAGGAACAATCTAATTTTGACCTTGCAGATAAGTTAGGAACCTTCCTTTCAAAGAGCTGAATCAGCTACTTTAGCTCAAAGGATCGTTTCACCCCCAGGGGACTGCTCTGATGATCACATTTAAAGAAGGGTTTCTAAATACTTCAAAACCGGTTGTTTGTAAAAAGAAAAAGCTGTTTTCCTCTTGCAGTAAGTTAGTAGTGGGTTTAATTTTGAATAGTCTGGACACATGAATTAATGTATTACTGTTTCTGCTGTAGGCTCTTCGATACTTGGCAGAATGCCGTGTTAACAGAGAAAAGATGAAGGGAGAACTGGGTATGATGTTAAGCTTGCAAAACGTTATACAGAAGTAAGTACAATAGTGTCTCCCAATGCAGTAGAAACGTGGATCTTCTTGTTAAATATGTACTCATTGTTAATATATGAATTTACTGAAATTTTAATTCTAATATGGGTTATATGTACAAAAAAAGTTCTGATGGTCAAAATCCTTATGTTCCTTATATATGTACATATATATATATAAATATATATGTGTATATATATTAATTTTATTGATTTCAGAGAGGAAAGGAGAGGGAGAGAAACATCAATGATGAGAGAGAATCGTTGATCAGCTGCCTCCTGCACCCCTCCATTGGGGATCAAGCCCACAACCCAGGCATGTGCCTTTGACTGGAATCGAACTCACGGCCCTTCAGTTAATAGGCCAACACTGTCCACAGAGCCAAACCAGGTAGGGCTTAAATATTTGTTTTTAATACTAGTCCTTATGTAAATGTTCAAATTTTATTTTAAAATGTTGATAATCAACATTGTATTTATGGATATTTTAAAAAAGAAAATCTTGCTTTATGTGAAGTTTTGTAAAGTAAATTGCAGAGCAATATGGGAAACTAATCAACATTGAAAATATGCACAAAATTCTTTTGTTACTTCATCCCAATCTTAACGGAAATGAACCTTTATCAGTATTCTGACAAAAAGGGCTTTTGGTGATATTTTCCTGAGTATCATTGAGAAGGCTCTCAGGGACTAGTGCTATTTACCGTATTTTTCGGACCATAAGACGCACCGGACCATAAGATGCACCAGTTTTTAGAGAAGGGAAATGAAGAAAAAAAGATTCTGAAACAAATAGTGTCCTAAAATATTTTATGTGCATTAAAACCCAACATCACAGTCATAAACACATGTAATCAACCCTGTAAAGTAAACAGCAGCATTTAGAACCATTTTAGAGCCTGGCAAGCACACAGAGACCACACAGAGCCGGGCAAGTAAAAAAACTTTTTTTTTAAAGTATATGTGTAGGCTATATTTGGACCATAAGACCAGGGACTTTTTCCCCCCACTTCTGGCTCATTTTAGAGCCAGAAGTGGGGGGAAAAAGTCTTATGGTCGGAAAAATACGGTACTTAGCATTTTAGCTAATAGGTGGTTTGTAATTGTACGGTTCATCTTGTTATTTACAACATTTTGAAGTAGGTTTGATAGGTGACAGTTTTGTGGGTGAGGAAAATGCTGAGGCTGTTACTTTATCTCTGGTCCTTCAGCTGTGTTGCCTCTGGGGATGTCTGGTTTGCTCCTTTCTTAGGCCTTGCTGATTTCTTTGTAGAGGCTAGAAATGGAAGATTCAGTGTTTTGATATTTCCAGTGTCTGGAAGGCAAAAGGTAAGCTTTCTGAGGCTTTATCTTAGTTCACTTTTTATCTTATATAGAAGATGACTGCCTTTAAACTTATAATAAATAATCACTTACTTTAATTTGACTTTTTAAAACTTATCTTGCAGTTTCTTTGGCTTGAGTGGTCACAAAAGTTCTTTTATAATTTCCAAATACTATAGGTTAAATTATATCAGTGAAGAATCATCTAAACTCACCTCTAAGACAGTGTCTTTTTGTTTTTTGGGGTTTGTTTTTTGTTTTTCTTAGTGTTCTTTATTCCTGGATAAATTTTATTTTATTGATCTCATTTTTTAGACATTACTTAAATGTTTTGTTTTCAAGGGGTCGGCTACGTGACAGACTAGTTCTTTGTGATTAGATTTTTGATAATGACAAGATAGAGACTGAAGTTTTCTTATTTTTACTCAGGTGATCAATTAGGAGTTAATAACAAAATACTGACTGCCATCAATTATATTAACTAATGCCTATGGTTTGAGGTGAATTCCATTAGTAAAAATTTGGAATCTAGTTCTGATTTGAGACAAATAATTTCTTTGCCCATCAGTTTCTTTATCTGTAAGACTGAAGGTAATATCTGCAAAGTAATTGATAATCCAGTAAGATAATATCTATAAGAAATGCTTTGTAAATTCTAAAGTGTGTAAAATATAAGGTATTCTTATTTTTGTTCCTAGTGTGCATTAGTGCCTTATAGATAACTATTTTTTACATTGATTTTAGAAAGAGGAAGGGAGAGAGAGAGAGAAACATTAATGTGAGAGAGAAACATTGATTGGATTGATCTGTTGTTTGCTGCCTGTGCAGCCGCTGGGGCATGCTCTCTGATTGGGAATTGAACCTGCCACCTTTTGGTGTATAGGACTGTGCTCCAACCAAATGACCCACAGTGGCCAGGGCACTATAGTTAACTATTTTTAACTTATATAATAGTGCTAGTGGATACAGTGAAAGGTTTAAGCATAATAAGGATGCCTCTTTTATTCATATGATAAACTTGGACCATAATGGATACCTTTAATAGGTATAGTTATTGAAGTTGAAAATATGTGGTAAAATTTTTTAAATGTTGAGGAAGAAGGTGAAAAATTAATGTTGATATATTAAATATACTTCATATTTGAACTTTAAAGATTTAGAGCAAAATTTAAAGGTACCACAAAATTAGCCTATAAAATAATTTCTTAGCTTGCCCAGCTGGTATGGCTCAGTGGTTGAACATTGACATATGAACCAGGAGGTCACGGATCGATACATGGCCAGGGCTTGATCCCTAGTACAGAGCGTGCAGGAGGTAGCCAGTCAATGATTCTCTCTCATCACTGATGTTTCTATCTCTTCTTCCTTCCTCTCTGAAATCAATAAAAAATAAATTAAAAAAAGATATCATCTCTGTTTACCATTGAAGTTTGTATGTTTGAATGTTAAAAGTATGTGTTTTTGCTTGTGCTGGCTGGGTTTGTAAACATTAAGACTTTGTATTAGAATCAGGCTTTGGCATCCCATCTAT